CGCAGTAGGTCAGGCAGATTGCCTGGTGTATTCAAAAGTTTATGATCTGAGGAGTAACCTCAGGATTGACAGGTCACCTTTGGGAATGAGATGATGCCTTAGAGCAGTGCACATTTTATGCTTTTAGCACCTGAGTGGGGAAATCGGAGGCTTCAAAGCACATTGCTGTTTTGTGTCCCCTAGCTACTGCTAATGTGCAATTTAGGAAGAGTGGGTCAGAATCCTTAATTTGGTGTATATCATCATAGCTCCATTGACATCAAGGGAGCTACCCAGATTTACAGCGACTGAGGTTCTGGCCTGGATTGTATGACCTGCTTGCCATAAGGTGAGTGCTGGATTTTTTACCATATTACATACACAAGTACTTTATAGGTTAGAACCCCTGGGCTGAGTTATGCTAGACATATTATAATGAGAAATAATGTGAGAGTTTAAAACAATTAATAGAATTTGAATAGAGTTTGAAAAGGGGAAAGTGCAGAAAATGGAAAAAATGCATAAAATATTTAATATAAATCCAAACTGAATAAATGATATTAATCTACTTTAGGCTAATGGTTCTTATCTGGTAAAATACCAGAGTCATCACTGAACTGGTGAATGGCAACTAACTTGCACGATAAACCTTAAAAAGCCTAATTATTTGGTGTTGAAATAAGGAAAAACCCCTCCTTGTTTAATGTTAAACACCGTCTATCTGCACTAAGAATAGACGTCTAAATAATTGACCTGATTTGCATTAATGCTAAGGACCAAACAGCTCCTGCTGAGGTCAATGTTGGCACTTCTGAAAAGCAGGTCATGTACTTTTTGATTTTTGAAAACCTTAGCCTCTTTGCCTCAATGTAACTTTAGTGTTCTGCAGCTCTCAAACTAAGGAAATAGCAATAAGCAAGCTGACTGATACGGTAGCAGTATTATGTGTAAACTCCAGTTGGAAAGTAAAATCAAGTCCATTCCTCTTTAGGTTTCTCGAGACTGAGTGCATTGCAGAGATGACACATTTGATTTCTGTATGGAAGGAAAGAAGTGACTGTTGTAGCCAGTGGCAATCCCTGTTGGCTTGAGGTAACAGAAAAAATGGCAAATAGAATTCTTCAGTAGAAAATGTTCAGGGAGCTAAAAAAAGCGAGAGGAGAAAATGTCTTCCACAACAACAACAACAAAAGGCCTAATCCCACACTCAGGTTTTGTCAAGGTATTTCAGACAAATAGGAAAGCGCATCCTAAATGACTGATAGCACCAGTGGAAGATAAAAGAAAAGAAATGAATAAATAAATATTAAAGGATGAAAAATAATTTATTGTTGCTATCTCTTAAATCAGGCCCAGGAGAACTGCTGGGTGTCCAGTGCATCTGAAAATCATGCCTTTTACTTATGTGGCTACGTATGAATATAGGAGTCTAATTGTGGCCCTAGTGGGGGTTTTCCCCCAAAGTTGTGGCAGATTTAGAGGGATTTTTGTGTTTGTTGTTTACTCTATGCAGTCAGCCTAAAAAAACGCTGAGACTTTATCTGTAGTGCTAAGTCAGTGCTTGGTCAAGCCTTAAAGCAGTGTGGTTTTTGACGCAGTGCTGAAGGAGAGATTTTGATTCTTAGAGTTGTTGTCTGCCTAAAGTTGAGCTGCTATGATTAATCTGGTTATTTGATCTGAACCCAACAGATTTGAGGAGTGAAGTGACTCGCGTTCTCCAGAACAGTTCAAAGGAGAAGGCAAAGTAAGACTTTTCCCTGCTCAGAACACAATGGTCAGATGTTAACAAACCAGCTCAAAGTCACTATTTGGAGTAATTATTTCTGCTATCGTTTCCTGTCAATTGTGGAATAATTTATATGTGAATACATTATTTCATTATTCAACCAAATCTAGTTACCGTCAAGTTTCTGGTCTTCTCTCTCTTGCAAATACCCATCAGGGAGTGGAGAGAAGGGATGATACTGTCAGAGCCCTCTTGTGTTTTGCCAGAATAATTTCATTGGGGGAATCAGTCAATACCACAGATAGAACTGTGGGGGAACTGGAATTTCTACATTTCCTTTCATGTCAGATCAGAACAAAACGGTAGAATTATTAAATTTTCTGCTAATCCAATTTAAAAAACAAATTCCGGTCAATCAAAATACATTTCAAACAAAAGTCATTATGAAACAAAAAATCAAAACATTCCAGTAAGTTGACCTAAACAAAATGCTTCGTTTCAATTCCACCCCCGCCAAAAAAAAAAAATGTTGCCAAAATCAACACATTCCCACAAAAAGTTTCTATTTTGATGAATCAGCATTTTCCAATGGAAAAATGTTCTGTCAGAAAAAGTTTGATCAGCTGTAACCATGGCTCAGAGAGGTATTGTGTGTCTGCACTGACTCCAGGACCCTGACAGCAAAGTTCCATTGCAGCTCTACTGCCATGGCTTCCCTCACATGCTATAGGTACTACCTCAACCTCTCCCCCTAGCCTGCCTTCAGAGGGATTTCCACAGCACAGAGCGACCATGGAAGAGTTAGTGCTTCTCAACTTGTATTTACCCTCTACTGGCTTTTCTGCCAGCAGTAGGGTGACCAGACAGCAAGTGTGAAAAATTGGGACAGAGGGTGGTAGGTAATAGGAGCCTATATAAGAAAAAGACCCCAAAATTGGGACTGTCCCTATAAAATCGGGACATCTGGTCACCCTAGCCAGCAGGGCAAGGGGATAGGGGTAATGCATGTTTTCTTGGCCGCACCTCAGCCTTCCCATTGCTGTTCTTATCATGCACATTCTCCAGCTCTGGGAAAGCATGGAATGTGTTACACTTTATATGACGGTTCTGTTGATAAATAGTTCATGAACACTTTAATAGCTGATTAATGGGTGTGTTAATAAATGGTTAATAGATGGTTATAGAGTCCAGCAGGTCAATGGATTGCTTGTAGTCGTGGGTTATAGTCGTCCAGAACACCTTCTGCTGATGTGCTTAAACTATTCTATTACACATACTACCCTGGTCTGTAACATGCTTATGATATCTATCAATCATGTATTAACCCTTTCTAAACCTTTCATAAATGGACTCTTAAAAGTGTGACCATTAGATCAATAGGGCTGCTCTTCTATCAAAGGCATAATTACCTAATTACCATCATCTGAGCACCTCTTTACAACTCCCCTGCGAGGTAGAGCAGTGCTGTTATCCCCATTTCGCAGGTGGGGATCTGAGGCACAGCAAGACTAAATGACTTGCCCAAAGTCACACAGGAAGTCTGTGGAGGAGCAGGGAAATAAACCTGGCTCTCCTGAATCTCTGGTTAGCAACCTAACACTTGGACCACCCTTCTTCTTGCAGCCTACAGAATGTAATGGCATTTGAATAATATCTGTAGTGGGCAATAAAGAGTATCCTTTCTGTACGTTTTATGAGCCATCCTTTGGAATTCTGTACTGAATTCTATAGGGTGGTTTAAAAACCTATAGCGAGGTCATTCTTTTTCCTTGGAAGTAATTCTATAAGATGTTTCTCTAGGTGAGGCAGAGACAGTGCAGGGAGGTGGTGACCTTCTACTCTCCTCCCATTTATCTGTTCCCAAAAGCCCAAGATGACCACCCAGGGTGGCCTGTTCACATCTTATTCCAATGCGGCTCACATTTTGGCTTTAGCTTGTTAGCTCACCCAGCCCGCACGTGTGAGCGCTGTGCGTCCCCTCAAGAAGATTTTTACAAGCCCTGGTACAAATCAGCCAAGGGACTGAGCATGCCTCAGAGTGACAGGAGGAAATACACAATGTACTCAAAACCCCTAAGTAAGCTGCGGCTACATTGAAATGAACTTAATGGTTGCTTTTGGTATTGCTAGCACACACCGCAGGGAGAGCAAATGCTAAAGAGCTGCTTCCTGCACTAAAACATGAAACCGCAAAAGATCTCATTTTACTAACCTTCCCTGAGCCACGCACACCCAGAAAAATAAATTAAAAGGGTAAATAAGGGTTTATAATGATTTATTTGGAGGGGGAAACCATCCCCTGATTTACAGTATTGATATGTATTAACTATATTTAGGATCAAATCTTCCTAGGTACCTATGATCACTATAGTATGGGAGCTATTCAGTCATTAATGCATGTTTATCTTCGTAACTCTTTTCTGTGGGAGGGAAGTATCAGCCCCTTTTTACAGATGGGAACCTGAGGTATAGGGCAGATTAAGTGATTTCCCCAAGTCAGACATGAAGTAAGTGGCAGAGTAGGGAACTGGACCCAGGTCTCCTGAGTCCTAGACCCATGCCCTATCCACTAGATCACTCTTCTCTCCTGATCCCACCAGTGGTTTCAGCGGGGTGAGAATTAGACCACTGACATTCCCCTGGCACTTTATATGTTCAAAGCATGGTGTAATGGTTACATAATTAATCTGTTTTGATTATTTCCTTTGTTTCTAAGTCTTTTCCATGTGATCGCACCCCTACTCCCCATTCTCCCAGGTGGAAGCATTAGTATTGCTGATCTCCAGGGTAGTCAGCCCCAGAATACATGTAGCAACAAGTGGAGAACATCCTTCGACATTTCACCTGTTCCCTACACTGTTGACACATTTCATTTCCACTCCTGGAAAAGTGATGCTTGTGAAAATGGCCTCTCGTCATGATAACATCTACACAATTAGATGGAGTCTTGCAGCCTATCCATTCAGTTCTATCAGTCAATCACTCAACCGTGTCCTGAGTCAGACTGATACATCTAGCAATCATGGGGGATCACAAGCCTCTCCCCCTCCCCGTCCCCTCTCTCTGGGACTGTCCCAGCCCGGGCTGTTCCTCCTTCCATGGACAGCCTGAATGAAAGCGATGCTGCCCAATGGAATATGAGTGTGCAACTCAGCCAGTTAATGGGAGCTGGAAGTTGCCAGTTCTGGGTTTAGAGGGAAGGGAGCTGAAACTGCAGGGGAAAGATGAGTAAGTCTGGGGTGGGGAGGTCCTGACCTGTGCCCCCATTCCAGGGGGCCCCTCCCCATGACCCCAGGTCCCATACCCCATGTAGGGCCCCCCAGGGGACTCCTCCCTGTGCTCCCAGGTCCCAGCCCCCCTCTATGGTACCCCCAGATCCCAGAGGTCCCTGTCTGTGACCCCAATTCCCAGCCCCTCATTTCCCAGGGAACCCCTCCCTGTGCCCCCAGATCCTAGCCTCCCAGTTCTCAGGATCCCCCATTCTTTCTAGTTTTCAGGGTGTTTCCCCAGGCCTTTGACATCCCCCTCCCCCATGCCACATTCTGACCCCCAAGTTCCTCATGCTCCCCAACCCTCAGGGGCTCCTCCTTTTTCTTGCTTATCCCAAAGGGAGGTGTCAGTGCAGGGGGGTGAGGATATTTCAGGCGTGAACCTTCCACTATCACAACCCATCTTAGCTACCTCCAGTGCAGTGGAGCATTTGCATTTTAAATCCCCCACCCCTCAATAACCCTTTCCCAAGGACAGGGAAGGGGCACTTGAATATTGGGGATGCTCAATATTGGGGAGTAGGGAGAGATCTGCCCTTCTGGATCCTTCATGTCACTACCCCCTCTGCATCCCCACACCAGTGAGTCTCGTATCAGTACTCCTCTGGTTCCCCCCACCCTTTCTGGGACTCTCCGCTCACCATGCTCCCCTGACACCAAAGCCCTCTGGTGCCCTCCTGACACTACGGCTCCCCTTGGGTTGCTGACCCATTGTGGAGAGCCCAGGGAGACAGCAGGGGGCAGGGGCACCAACATACACCCAGGGTGCTGTTTTCCCTAAGGCCATCCCTGATTTTGTGATTAAGTGACCATTTATCACGTTTGTAAGTGGCAAGATAAACTGGAGTGTATAAGGGGACTGTCACTTGACTCCATTATAAGACGATTGTATTATTATGGGAGTTCACTTTGGTGCTGGGTTGGGGTGACTGCCCTGAAATAGACACTCGTGGTGGTGAGCCGCACCAGACAGCGTGACAGTAAACATACTTGACCAGGGACCATCAAAACAACTAGCCTTCAGTGGAGGAGAGAAGTGGAATAGCGTTGACTGTCCCCGCATGGAAGAACCAGGGTGAGGATTTTTTTTGCAGCAAGCAGTAAGATTTGAGGCATTTGTGCTCTGAGGGAAAGCTGTGGTGCTGGCAAGCACGGCTGTTGATGCCAGACGTGGTTTTAGGATATGGTTAGATCTCCCTCTGCTTATCCACTAGCACTTGGAGAACAGCGTTGGGGTGTGAGCGAGTGGGGGCACATGTTGTGCATAGTCAAAGGAACTTGCAATTTCTTCCAAATAAATCTAGAGTCAACCTCCCTTTGCCTTCTGCAGCCACCAGTCAGGCATTACACTTCCAATGAGGATCTAGGTCTCAAGCCCAAATCTAGCCTAAAGGGTTTGTTTTTCTGTGCAACCGTATGATGAATTGTATGAACATTATATATATATTTGCACCACTATAGCTAATAACCTTGCATTAGCATTTCCACTGAAGTCAGCAGTTCAGTGGTATATTTTTACATTAATCAAGTAAATATATGCTGGGTCTTTCTGTACCACCTGCTGCACTAGTGTGAGCTGAGGAGTGGCTGGTGGGCTACGTGGGATCAAAATATACTCTCCTTGGAGAAGAAATATCTGGTCATTTGTGCTATAATGTAATAAAAATACTCTGAATGGCAAAGCAGCTAAGGAGACAAATCAGAGAGTAATCACAGCACAATTAGCGCATGTTCAGGTACAAAAGGACCTTCTGAGCTTTCCCCCTCAGACATAACCCTATTCTCTCTGTGCTGAGTAGCAACTCATGCTGACTACAGCTGGTAGGATTGTCCACCAAGTCCCAGTGCAGAATGGGATTCAAAGTTACAATGAAGTCAAAACAGACTTTCCAGTTTCCACACCGGAGGTATGGGTATAGACAGAAAGAAATTGCACTTATCAATGCAAATCTCTGAAGCATTTCCAGCGGTGATGATTATTATAAGGCCAAACCCAATGAACTCTATTTAACCCCATTATAGTTATTGTAAAAACCTCTGCAAACACGGACCACAATCTCCCCTTGAGCAGGATGGAAAGCCTGACAATCACAGCAATATAGCATGCTGGGGAGGGGGGCTGGGGGCTACAACCAGGGTTTCCCTATCTCACTACCCTCCATACAATGAAACTGAACCAATTCTTCTTCTAGGCCTAATGTGCCCAGGTGGGGAAGGAATGAGGGAATAGCTTTTACCTCCTTGTGTGATTAAACTAAGCTATCTACAATTTAGTTAGGAGCTACACTTTCTTCCTTTCATGCTGGGTAACCTGAATGTGTTCCTTCCCCATTGTTAAATCTCTGGAAATCCTGTGAATATTATGGAATATATTACTGGCAAATTGCCAATAAGGATCTTATCCTCGTATTGCCGTAAGAAGTTTTCAGTTTCAACAAGCCATTTAAAAAGGACTTTTCCCTCTAGGCTCTTTGTTAATCACTGAAATTGCTATAAATCCAATTTTATTGAATTGAGCAAATCTAATGCTTTATATTAAAGCTGGGTGGTTTCTTTTAATACATATTGTATATGCAGAAGATAAAAAGACAATAACAATGTTTAAATGAATTGTAACTCTCCAGAAAACAAAAACAATCAGATATAAATTTGCAATTTCAATTCAGAATGTTTTTCAACCAGATCAAACTTGTCTCCTGCCTCTGAAGGGAAATACAGAAGAACAGCATTATTCTGTTTGCATAGCTCTGATTGCAGACAGTAGTGTGAAAAGTGGCGCTAACAATAATTGCTGAAATATTCAGAAAACAGCTTAGTAAGAACTCATTTGCACTGGGAGATTGCATATTTGACATCCTTTTAAACTCCAGTGCTGAGGTTACTTGTTTGTAAATTCTACATTTTTAGATATTAAGTAAAAAGGGGACCCGTTTGTGATGAACCCCTTAGTGAGTCCAACTCTCCATAAACTCCCTGACAGACATATCAATGCAAACTGAAAAATACCCAGAATCTATCTGTGTTACTTATATGGCTCCATTATCATACTATCTGAGTGCCTACAAGTGCTATAGGAAGTGCGGCTACGCCAACGAGACACTACCCCACATCCTGTGTAGCTGCAAGCCCTATTCAAGAGCTTGGCAGCTGCGACACAACGCCATCCAAGGTCGGAGCCATCCCGCACCCAATGGGGAAGGTTGCCGTAAACTCCGCTATCCCCGGAGCCGACAGCCAACTGCAACCGGACATCGTCATCACCAACGAGGACCAGAAGAAGATCATGATGGTGGATGTCACAGTGCCCTTTGAGAACAGCCTGCCATGATGCCCAAGCTCGAAAGGTGGAGAAATACACCCCTTTGGCTGATACCTTGATAGCTAAGGGTTACCAGTTCCAGCAAGGCCGTCTCTGGCTTTTTGGCCACCCCAAGCAAAAAAAATAAAAAAAAAAAACCTAGTGCGCTGGTGGGGGAGGGGGGGATGAGGAGGGAGGGTGCGGGCGGGAAAGAGAGAGAAGGGGGCAGCCAGGGCTACAGCAGGGGCGCTGTCACGCCGCCCCTCCCGCTGTGCCGCTGCCTGCCGCGAGGGCTCCGCTCCGGTCGGCGGGGAGGGAAGGAAGAGGACTGCCCTGCAGGGTGCTCTGGTTCTCCGCGCCGCCGCCCCCTACAGGGCGGCCGGAGCGGAACAAGAAAAAAAAAAAGTGGCCGGGCCGCTCTAGGATTAGGCAGAATGCCGCCTCCAACAATCTGCCGCCCCAAGCACCAGCTTGCTCAGCTGGTGCCTGGAGCCGGCCCTGAGTTCCAGACACACGCACTGATCATTAGAGTCTTGGCGCCTGGAACCCCAGTAACCAGCGAGTGCTGAGAGAATGCGGAATCGGTTAATGCTACGCTCGGCTGATGTGGCAACTCATGGTGTCGGACACCATAACGTAGTCGAGGGACTTCTACATAGAACACATCACCGGACATCGGCAATACCAAGAGGGATGAGCTGGAGTGCCGATGAGAAGTGCAGTCTGGAAAGTAACAAATACTTTCCTCATGGATTGTATTTTCTAAATGGACAACCAACCTAATTCTCAATTACTGAGGGAGAATCTCCCCTCATTGGTACATTTTGCTTTCCACAACCAAATCTCTGTACAGCTTTTTATGAGTGATGTACCCTAGTAATCGGATTCTAATATCTAAACTGTATTGTTAAATCTATTCACCTAAATTTGGGTTATTGCTCATTATGTACTCTATGTATTGTATAACTTTTAAAAAACTAACTTTGTATTTGTGGATAATCTAAGCACTCTACCCAGATGTACAGACACTCTTTTCCCAACCTATGTATTATTATATATTATTAACATTAGCTTTAATAATTTTTTTAAATTTTTACCTTCCATGTAAAATCAAAATCAATCAACAAAGTCCATACTGGACTTTGTGGCACTTCTACCTTCAATTATCCCCATTTTATAGATAGACTTTAAGGTCAGCATGGACCATTATGATCATCTAGTCTGACCTTCTGCACAATGCAGGCCACAGAATCTCACCCACCCACTCCTGTAACAAACCCCTAACCTATGCCTGAGTTACTGAAGTCTTCAAATCGTGGTTTAAAGACCTCAAGGTGCAGAGAATCCTACAGCAAGTGACTCGTGCCCCACGCTGCAGAGGAAGGCAAAAAAAACCCAATCTGCTCTGGAGGAAAATTCCTTCCCAACCCCAAATACGGCGATCAGTTAAACCTTGAGCATGTGGGCAAGACTCGCCAGCCACACAGATGGAGAAGTGAGGCACAGAGACTTACCCAAGGCCACACAGAAGTCCCCTATCTATTTCCCTCCCTCTCAGTCTGCTTACCCTCTCTCCATTTCCTTATTTTCCAGTACTTCAACCCAGACAGCCCTTTCTCCAGACCTAAAACAAAGTTTGTGTTTATACAATTACATAAATATCAATAAAGCCTGGTAATAGTGAGACGTGTTTTGGCTTTTTAGATAGTGTCAGTCCCAACGTGCTTATAATCTTCCTATATAATTGTACAGTACCTAGCACAACCCTGACCTGGATGTTACTGCAATATAAACAATAAATTAGCAACAAAGAACCAGCTGAGATCTGGGAACATCCTGAGTCTGTTCTCCTGTTGGAGTTGAGAGCATGAAGCCTTTTGCCTCTTGCATATTAATAATCCATTTTAGAGGGGAAGGCATTACAAAAATGATGTAAAGGAGATAAACACTGGCACCTTTATGGCAATGATAGATGATAGCAGACAGTAGGCCTGAGTTTGAAATCTTGTTCTTTTTCAGGGCAGGAAAATTTAATGTCTCTTGACCTAAAGCCAGTTATTCAGACACAACAGGAAAAGCCTGTTGAAGTAAAGAGGGCATTCAGTGGGAGAAATATATATTAGGACCCATATGTATTGTCATTATATTGATTCCCCACATATATATATGTGCATGTGGTGATCTGTCCTTCCAAGGGGTGTGTGTGGAAGGGAAATCAATATCACCACCACACATATGATTATAATTCTCTTCTCACTGACCTACTCAGTGGCTTTATTCTGATCCCACTTTGGTTCATGGCAAAGCTTCTGTTGATTTCAATGGTGTGGGATTGTGCCCTAAATCTGGAGTAACTGTATGGAAATCAGGGTAAAATGTTATGAGAAGAGAATCAGATCTCATGTGTTTTGGGAAGAAAACTCAAAGAATCAAATCCAAACTGCATTAGGAAAAGGCAGATTCTCAGTCATTGGGTTGGATTTAGCACGTACTAAGATTTACTTTAACAATAATCTTCCCTGAAATAATAGATATACACAAGTTTGCAGAAGTGCTATTACATTTGCTTGGCAGATTATAACAGATTTATGAGGAGGTAAAGAGGTTGATCTAAACAAACTAAAATAAAAATGTTAAGAATGGTTACGCTGAGTAGGAGATAACAATAACCAGGCATGTCCTGAGATTCTGTTCTTTTATAAAGGAGTGTCTTGATTGCTAAAGATAAGGGTTCTGAAAATGGAGTAGCTCTATTGTAAAATGTGTATTTCTGCTGATTTATTTGTTTGTCTCGTTATGTTAAGATGGATCAGAGTTCCTATATCCCTCTGCATGTGCCCTCCAGCCCATCTCAGGGAAGGATGGACTTTAAACCCACTCAGGACCTGAAACTCACCCCTGTTATTGTGGGAACACCTTGGAGAGAAATGCATTCCCAGAAGGGGTAATAACTTCCAAAATGATGTTCTCTAATGGGATATTGCACTGTTATCTTGTTAGCTAACAGAACTGAGAGGAACGATGGTCCAGCGGTTAGGTCATCACATAGCGATGCGGATTCAAGTCCCTATTCCACCACAGACTTCATTTGTGACTCTACTTCAGTGTGGGGGAAGAGGCTACCGGAGTTTATGTGCAGGAAAGGAAGGGATTGTGGGACAAAGTGATGGGAGTTGATTAAGGTGGGGGAAGTAAACTAGAGGGGGAGGGAGACAGAAAGGGGAAACAGATGTTAAAAAGACACTTTGGCCCAGTTCCTCTAAAAGGTATTTAGGTTTCTAATGCCTACTGGTTTCTGTGATGGTGCCCCCCATAAGGCTTTATGGAATATGCTTATGATTGTATATGTGACATAACTGGAATATGGTTTAGACTACATATGACATGTAACATAGCTATGTAAAGGTTATGATCTACTGAATATATTCATCCTATTTGTACGCATGTATCGTTTTTGAATTCAAAGTTATGAATATTGACTGTGTACTGGTTTGATTTTAACTAGCCTAGTAGAGCATTTGGTCAGCTTCTTCAGAAATGTGAAATTAAGTTCCCAATCAAAAACCACTTAAGCCAACAATGAACTTGAAGATGCCAATCCACATCTGAGCCTTCCCAGTAATGTGGCTTGGCTGGTGAAAACTGAGTCATACATGGACATGTGGCTTGCCCATGTGACTCCAAAACTCCATCTTGGAGTTGGACTTTGCACAGGAGAGAGGAGGGGGTCTCCACCCACAAGAGAAAGTCTGTTTAAACCCCTGGGATACCCCTCCATTTTGTCTTCAGCTGGCTAAAGAGATAGCCTCTCTACCACCACGGATACCTGCAAGAGACTGGAACAAAGGACAGTAACTTCAGGGGGGGGTGCGTGACTGCTGGACGCAGACTAGGAGACTAGTCTGTAAAAGGAAGCTTACTGGAACTGGTGAGGTTTTTATCTGTACTCAGTTTTATTACTGTATTAGGCTTAGATTTGCATGGTTTTTTTTTATTATTTTACTTGGTAATTCACTTTGTTCTGTCTGTTACTACTTGGAACCACTTAAATCCTACTTTTTGTATTTAATAAAATCACTTTTTACTTATTAATTAACCCAGAGTATGTATTAATACCTGGGGGAGGGGCAAAAATAGCTGTGCATATCTCTCTATCCGTGTTATAGAGGGTGAACAATGTATGAGTTTACCCTGTATAAGCTTTATACAGGGTAAAATGGATTTATTTGGGGTTTAGACTCCATTGGGAGTTGGGTACGTGAGTGTTAAAGACAGGAACACTTCTGTGGGCTGCTTTTGGTTAAGTCTGCAGCTTTGGGGCACGTGGTTCAGACCCTGGGTCTGTGTTGGAGCAGACTGGCATGGCTACAACAATGCTACATTTCTTTTGAACATTTTGTTCTATAACGCGAAGGTCCCGAGAAAATGGCTCTCACACAAAGAAGCGAGGCCATGAGATTTCAGGGGTAGGAACTCCAGGCTGGATCAAACCCAGAGGAAAGCCGGTTGCCTATATTTTCTGACAATGGCCAGTACCCCAGGCTTCAGAGGAAGGTACAAAAATAGGCCACAGTAGGCAGATGTGGGCATTGACATCCTGAGGCAGTGCGGACCAATTACACAGAGTGAAAAAGTACCTCCTTTTATCAGCTTTGTGTTGGCCAACTTTTCATCCACCACTGACTGTTCCCAGTTTTTTGTGTTACAAGACAGGTGGAATAGGAGCTCCCCAGCCAGCATCTCTAGACCATTCATTATTTTATATACTTGTTATCAACTACCCTCTTATCTCCTATCAATGGTAAGCAATCTTCCTCTGCATATGAGAGTTCTTCCCATCCCATGCCCCTAATCAGATGCAGCTGAGAGCTTAATTTGGCCACTACATAAGATCCTCCCTTTTTGCACCACTTAAACGACATAAAATTGCTATAATGCGGCTGCCAGTTCTCATCAGGGAATTCCCCCAGGCATAAGGGAACTTGCTGCTGGGTGAAACTGAGCCAGCTCTGGGTTTGTCTGCCTGCCTCTCCCTCCCACCCCTGCAGTTGAGGGGG